TTGGACATAAAAATTTTTTACCCTTAAAAGTCTTGGACCTTTTAATGTATCCATAGTAATTTTACCCTATCAATAACAGTGACATTTTTCACTTTTCTATATGTTTTTTACCCTTGGTTTGCTTGGGACCTCAATTAGAAGTTTCCGGGGTCCTGCATGCATTGATAAAATATTTATAATTTAATTAGAATTTATATATTCTCTTACAGTTTTAATATCTTAATCAGTGTTTGTATATTGTTTAATTAGCATTCACTTAGCGTTTCTATACGTTCACTTATAATTTTACTATGTTTAATTAGTAATCTGAGAATTTTAATTAGTAATCTGAAAATAGGTTTGACTTTAAAGTTGTAATAACTCTAGCAAGAATAGAATAATTTTTTATGGTTTGTATATTAAATTAAAACTCAGAATCTTGAGAAGCTAAAGATATAAAATTTGTACAATTTTATTTATTTTTTATTTGTCTTTAATATGTGGCTTACTTTTTTAACCAGATAAAATCAAAATTAGCCATTGTAGATAATAGTAGATTCGTGTTACGTATACTCTACCCTTAAGCCATAATGATCACGTTATTTATGAGATTATGTGTGATCTAAGATTTTCTGTTGTCCCTCCACCCCCTAAAATATTAGCAAATAATATAAAGAATTATTTGTTCTTTACAAAAGATTAATTCGTGTTTTGCCGATCATGTGTAGAAAAGTAATAATGATCTGCAGAGATAAGCTAATTATAATTTTTTCTTCTAAAAAAGAATCTCACACTGTCTATATAATAAATCCAATGAATACCAATAAAAATTACCACATAACTTTACTCAATCAATCTATTCATTTGTTAATACACAAATTTAATTTAATTCAGACAGCTGACACAATTTAAAGAAAATCTAATTATATATCTATTTAAAATTTTTTAATTTTCATGGTAATACCATTTCTAAAGGTGAGATTGTTCCTAATTTACATTATGGAATAAATGCTAAAGAATGGTGGATTCAAGCTTCACCAAACACAAACAATATTTCACCACTATATCCACTCAGAGTTGGTATGAAAACTATAATAGAATTGAAAGGATATTATTTTGTTACTACTATTATTAAAGGAAATAGTATTAGTCCTGAATTGCCTGGTTATTGCTGTCAGTGTGGTTCATTTACAACTACTGTTGAAGATTCTTCTACTGCAGCAATTTCTAACTGTTACCAAAAATTTTTTAATGTTGGGACTAGATTTTCTGGCATAAAGGTTATAGGTTTTGAAGATAAAATAATTTTGAAAGAATTATTGACTGATATTAGTTTTCAACCACTATCAATTCTGCTAGATAAAATATCCATCAATATATTCAAAATGGGGTTTTCGTCAAATGAGGAATGGCATAGAGCAGGTGATGGCTATTTGTCATCATTTTCATATGCATACAAGAGAACTAATTGCAATTTTATCCAAAAAATATCAAATGGATTATGTTATGTTGAGATTTGGAATAAATTGAACAAAGTGGGCAGTTTTTTTGAAAATACTCCCACAGCAGTTTGGCAACATATTGGAATTTTATCCAAGTATACTGGTGATCAACTATTTGGTTTGACAAATTCTAATATACAGAGAATTTTATCTAATAATAAACCTCTTATATGTATACCTTCTGATTGGGCCAATTTAGAAATAATGGAAAAATTATATAATCATCATCTTAAAAAAAAAAACAATTTCAAGTGTTAATTGGTATGATCTTTTTTTAACTTGGTTAGATCAAAAGAGTGAAGTAATTGAATTATATACAAAATTATCAGAAATATATTCACCAGGACATAAATTTAGTAAACATGAAATTGAAACTTGGCATTCAATGTTGAGATCAACTAGTTGTAAAAATATAACACCTTTCCCAAGAAAAGAATCATATGTAAGTACAATTTTATTTGTTGATTATTCATTTATTATTATATTTATTTTTATTTGGATTATTATTTAATAAACACTATTTTTAAGTTTGAATTTTGGACTAGAGCTGAAGATGAATCCAAAAATAAAGAAACATTCAGATATTTATATGAAAATGGTTTTTTAAATTTATATCCAGACCAACAACAAGACTCAATACCAAAATTTGGAAATGTTTTAAAGAATCATTAAAAAATAATAATAAAGGTAGTAATGGTATACAATGTATATTGTCAATAATTGCACAAGAGTTTTCTTATAAAGAATTACAAGATATGTTGAATGTAAGTTCTTTTATTTATCATGTTTTTATATAAAAATAAAACTAATTTATTTGTTGATCACAAGGTTTCACCTTCAACAATAAATAATGCAAGAAAATATTCACATATTAATGGAGCAGGTGGTGTACAATTATCTAGTCCAAAAATAAAAAGAAATCAACCATAACATCTGAAATGCAACAGCAATTCGATTCCTTTTTTGCAGATAAAGCAAATGTAAGTATGAGCTCATATAAAGTTACTAATGAACCAATACTATATTTACAAAACCAAAAAGAATCTCTCTGGAACAAATTTTCTGAAACTTATCATAATGGTATGAAACGTACCACATTTTTGAAGCAAATAAAAGATAGTCCATTCATATATCATGAAGATCTTGGAGGATTGTGTTCAATTTGTTGTGAATTTGGCTATGAAGTTTTTGATGATTTAAAGAAATTGATAAGTGTACATATAGTAGATAAATCAAATCAGGTATTTTAATATTGATTATTTCAACTTCAGACTTTAAAAATCTTTTTGAATTTAAAATTCATATTTATTTCAGGAGTTTTAACTATGGCCAAAACAAACATTTTTATTATTATAATTTTTATTTATAATTTTTATTTATAATTTTTATTTACTAATTTTATATTAGGATTGTTTATATTCTAAAATAGATATCATTAAACGGCATTATAAACGTGAATATGAGCTTGAATTAGAAATAAATAATGATGGAACCATACAGCACAACAATTGCATAGATCATTGTTTAACCTTTGCTTTTGGAATATGTACACAACCACACACAACAATATGTTTAAAATGTTCACAACTTTATGAATTTTTTCATGAACTAGATACATATTTGCCAGAGCAGAAGCGTTTACTTGATGAATATCAACAAAAAAATTTTTATATCTTAATTCACAACTCCAAGCAAATTTAAAAACATTAGATAATGATGGAGCATTATTAATTGTTGACTATAAGATGCGCATTTTGCCAAAGTCTGCACGTGAGACAAAACAGGAATTCTTTGGTAAACATAGCTGGACATTACATTCTGTATTACTTTTTACTAAAAAAGAAAATTCTACAGAGCTAAATATTTCAGCATATGATCATTGGTCAACAGATACTTGTCAAGATGCTTGGTTCACAGCATCTTCATTACATGCTGTCTTTGAAACCATTCATAATAAACCTAAATGGGTTACTATTTTTTCAGATAATGGGCCTCATTATCATAACTCAGAATTAATGGTTATATTGTCACAATGGAAAGATTGGTATGATATTGAAATAAAAAAATGGATTTTTTTAGAAGCAGGTGAAGCAAAAACATGTATTGATTCACATCATGCCCAGGTAATATTTTTTTCATTTTCATTATATTTATTATTATTATCATTGCTAAACAATTGTTTCTTTATTGATGTTTGAATTAGATTTCTCATTCCATAAAACGTTATGTTAGGTTAGGTTTTGATATATCAAATGGATCTGATATAAAGAAATCTATAAATTTACATGGTACATCTGTTTGTAATTTGGAACCAAATAGGGAAACAGGTAAGAAAAAAATAAATACAATTAGTGGTATATCCAACTGGTTTGAATGGGGATGGCCTGTAGATGGATTATATGCTGGATATATTCAAGCATGATCATTACCTAATATTGGAGATTGGAATAATATACTCCCAACTAAATTTAATAAAAACAACATGGAGTTATTGAAACCTGAACCATTTATATCAACACCTATTCCAAATTCACCATGGACTGTTCCTGTTCCTAATGAATCTAATTCAAAGAAAAGAAGAGTGGAGCTATCAAAAGAGCACCAAAAAAATTCAGAAGCTATAAATTTACAAGGTGAAGTTAAAATAATTTGCTCCATTTTATAAAATAATAAAACAACAATAATAATAAATAACAAACAATTTTAGATATGAATAATCCATTGAGCAACCAACTTAAAATAGAAAATATGTAAGATATTTATTTTTATTTTTAATTAAAAATTCAAATAACAAAATTTTATATTAATTACTTGTAATAATTCTGAAAATTTCCCATTAAGTTGTGGATGGGCTTTGAAGGAGAAACAAAAGTTTGGTAAGAAAGGTGGAGGCGTGAGAATGAGTAGTCAGGTAACTAGTTTATGTCAAAATTACTTTCATGCTGGAAATACAAATAAAAGTGATAGGTATTCACCTGAAGACATGTTGAATGAGTTGAACAAATTAGTTAAAGAAAGACAATTGGATCCAAATGAACTTCCAAAAATCAATACTATACAAAGTTGGATTGGTAGGTATTCTGCTAATTGTAAAAGAAAATGGCTAATCTGAAATTGAGTAAAAAGAATTAATATTCTTTAGAAAAATGCAAGTTTTTAAAAAAAGTTTTTTTGTCTGGTGCAAATTAAAACGAAAAAAATTAAAATTGATATATTTTTAATGTTTGTTTATTATGTAAAAAATACCTTGGATCTGGCGATGCCCAATATAAAAGTCAAAAAAATTAATAAGCTATAACAAATTTTTTTATATTTATAAATATTCAAGTTTATATCTATTGTATGGCATAACAATTATCCATATAAAATCTTTTATTGGCAACTTGGATGTAGTGTAATGTTTGTCAATTGAACAACTTTTTGTCAATTTTACTATGATCATTATCTCCGCAGATCATTATTAGTTTTCTACACATGATTGGTGAAACACGAATTAAGTATTCTTTCTTTTTTAATGATGAAAAAAATAGTTATTATATAGAAAAGAACTAGTGTTCCATGTCGCAATCCAAAAAAGGAAACCAAAGTGGTCACAAAGGTGGTTGCAACCATCACCAAGAATTGCGACCAGCATCTATAAAAAGAACACAGATGGTTGATCTTATTGCACCATTGTCAATGACACTGTAAATCCTTCTTCAAGAGAATGTTCCCAGAGCCTTTCATTCTATACCATTGAAACAGATTAGAAAATATGCAAGAGCTGCAAAATTTATGGGCTGTTACAGGAAAGGTTTATCAGTGTTACAGGTTGAATATATTGTAAGTCTCATAGAAATACTCCAGATAATGTATAAAAGAAATAATTTAAATGCATTTGTGGAAAGTCATGTGATAAAAATCAAAATTTTTTTTGAATTTGAAACATTTGGCACAGAATTTGATGCATTATACATATGTAAACTCAATAAGTTGGTCATGTGGGGGTGAGCTCATATGACTGACTTATCAAGTAAACCAACTTATTGAATTAAATTACTTAAATATTAAGAAAATGGGGTGAAAATTTTGGTTGACTTAGGGTGCTGACATATATTAGCTAATATCATTTTAATAGTAGTGCTTACTCCCCCACCCCCAGGTAAGACATTTTGATCACGTGTATGATAATCAATTGCCTTTTTAGGTATCAACAAAGCACAAGCGAAAAAAAAGAATTAATTTTATTAATAAATCATACATTTTAAAAGCAACATTGGAGTAAAAAAATTTTCCTTCATTATATCATGATCTCTTGGACTTCCTGAGTATAATTTGCATTGGCTATTTCTTTGACAAAACAACCTATTTGGTTCTGAGTGTAATAACTCTTACTTAATTGAAAATTACAAACAATGAATCCTGCTAAAGGAAAATCTAAAGAACAAAACTCAAGGATTCTTGATGATTTCTCTCTTCTCAATCACAACAAAAGTGGCCTCTTTTTGACAAAATATATTTAAGGAAATGTATATCAGATAAAGAATGATTAATTATAGCATTTATGTATATGAGAATGTGAGAATTAATTGCCATATCATCCTGTAGACAAAAAGTGTGATACAATTTTTTTGTAAATGACAATTGGTTTGCATGTAGATCATTCCTAAATTGAAACACTTACATTCAAAGTTATAAAAATGCAGATTTTTCACTGAAGCCATTATGATCACGTCATTTATGAGATTGTGTGACCTAAGATTTTCTGTTATCCCCCCACTCCCTAAAATATTAGCTAATATATGTCAGCGCCCTTATCAAGTAAACCAACTTATTGGGTGAGTTTACATATGTAGTGAGTGACCTGCACCATACAAAACAGAAATTAAATAATGGCTTTCTATAGTTGGCTCAGTTTAAAGACCTCCTAAATTTTAAAAGTATAGAAGTCATTTTCTGTCCCACCTTTTAAAAAAATAGCTTTATTAGTTGATGGAATAGGTCTTTAATTTAATGTAATAGAGATTTTCTCAAAAAAATTATTTGTACTATGCTCACAAGGAATTTGAGCGCTAGAATCATTGCTAAATTTAGACTAGTTTTCGTTCATCGTTACTAAATTTAGACTAATACTCATCAATCATATCTAAATTTGACAGGAAGGGACCAAAATCACGCGAAAAACCTTTTTTTAAAAGTTTTATTGCATTTTTAAACAAATCACCAGTGTTGAAAATTCAGCGGGAGGGTGTAATGTTACACCATAATCATGTGTGCACGAAATAAATTAATTAAAATTAAAATTTGTCACACATGCAATTAAAAAATTGTCATTATAAATACCAGACTTGTTATCAAAAAAAAATTAATTTTATTTGATTTAATTTAATTGAAACTTGTTTAATTTTTTTCAAATATATTAAAATGTCCAACCAACCAATGGAAGTTGAAATCATTAATTTGTCAGATGATGAATTAAATAATGGTGATCAAACTAGAATCTCTGAAAATATAGAACCTAAAGAATCACATATTAGGAAAACTGCTGACCTTAAGTGGTTTGATGATTATCCATGGTGAGAACTGAATATGTTAATGGAAATACATTGTTATATTGTAGAATTTGTAGAGAATGCAATGGAATAACAACATTTGCAAAAGGTACACCTTTGTTAAGAATAGATAAAATTAGAGATCATATGAGAACCTCTGAACATAAAAAATCTGAAGAATTGCTTAAACCAAATGCTAGAAGACAATTAAGCACAGAGAAATTAGGAATTATTTCTTTAATGAGAACTAGTTATTTCTGCTCAAAAAATAATATTTCAATGAACAATTATCCTGGCTTATGTAGTTTAATATCACTACAAATTGAAAATAGCAATGAATTAATAATTAGTGATAACGCTTCTACTTTGAAACCTGCTTCTTTGGAAAAACCATCACCATCTAAATCAAAATATGGGAGCTATAACAATCATATATCTGGGTTTGATTTTTTAGATAGTATTGCTTATACAATTAAAAAATCTCTCTTTGAAGAATTAAATTCCTCAGTTTATTGAAGCATAATGATTGATGAAACCAATAGTGTTGATAATGATAAATATTTAGCAATAGTAGGAAAATATATCATCAACAACATACCATATATGAGATATTTAGGTATGGTTAACCTAGACTCAACTGATGGTGAAAGCATATTTGATCAAATTAAGTCATTTTGTGCATCAAAGGGAATATCTTATCACAATATTATTCATTTAGGAAGTGATGGTGCTTCTAACATGATTGGTATGAAATTGATGAAATCATTATTTAATTGTGCAAAAATTAATTTTTTTTAACTAATTCATTTTAATTATTAGGACACATGAGCAGTGTTGCAGCAAGATTTAAAAAAATTAACCCATTAATGACTTCAAACCATTGTATATCACATAGGCTTCATCTAGCTGGGAAAAGATGCTTCAGAAGAAGTTATATATTTTAAGAAATACGAAAACTTTAAAAAAATTGTATAGTTATTTTTCAAAGTCTTATAAAAGACAACAAATCTTAAAGATGATGCAGGTAATCACCATTTTTTCATCCTTATATTCTTTTTATCAATACTTTTTATTAATAATTTTTACTGTTAACTAGGAAGTTAATGAAGAACCATCGCTTGTAATATTAAATATGTGTGACACTAGGTGGTTGTCATTTTCAAATTCTGTGAGTAATTTACATAAAATCATAAACTCTGTATTATCTGCTCTAAATGAAAATATTGAAGAAGGAGATAAGCTTGCAGAAAATTTATATGATCAACTAGATGATGTTTTTATTTCAGCAACAATGTACCTTGCTAATTTAACAAATATTTTAAAGAAATTAATCAATACATTTCAGTTAGAACATTTATCAATATCTCATTTTAAATTACAACTTGATGTTACAATTAAAACAATTGAAACTGAATTTATAGGCTCTGAAGAGATTCCACCAAATTATGGTACAATATTTAAAAAATATTTGGACAATAATTATAATTCCATTCCACCATTTGTTAAAGAATATTCAATTGCAATAATTGATGCTATTAAAAACAGATTTCCAGAATCTGAATTATATAATGCATTTAATATTTTTGATCCAAGAGAACTTCCAGATGATGATAGAGAATTAGTTTTATATGGAAATCAAGAAATAGAAATTTTAGGTAATTTCTATGGAGAAATTAAATTTGTAAATGGTAATGAATTTAGTGGAATCATTGACAAAGAAGAACTTAAACAAGAATGGAATTCAACAAAACTTTTCCTACAGAACTATAAAAATAATAATAGGGAAATGAATTTCATTCAATTGTGGAAACTCATTTTAGATACTGATGAAGATTTTCCTTTTAATAATCCAAATATATTATTAGTTGTTAGAATAGCACTTCTTATAC